AGAGGGGGGGGAGAGAGAGAGGGGGAGAGAGAGACAGAGACAGAGAGAGAGAGACACACAGAGAGAGAGAGAGAGAGACAGAGACAGAGATAGAGAGAGGCAGAGAGAGAGAGAGCGCCACCTACGTTGCCGTGAGCTCCTCCACACAGACCTCCCCCTGCACGGTCACGTGCTTGAGCAGGTCACATGACCCCCACTGGTAGGGCTGGCGGGAGAGGGCGATGAAGGCGTAGGTCCCCAGCTGGGCGGTGACCGGGGCGTAGGTGGAGACCAGGAGGACCAGGTCCAGGAGGGCGGCCACCCCCACACCTGTGGGGCAGTTTCACGTGTTTAGTCAGTCTTACGCTGGGTGGTTGGCGGGTGCTCTGGTGTGGTTTGCTTCTTCTTTCCTATCAAAAATCTAACGTCCTTATCTCCCGTTCTTCTTTTATGTTTGTTACTCTCTTGTAACACCTCTAATCTTCTGGTGCTCATACGACCTTATGCAGTTGCGAGCACCGTAAAACCTCTACTAAAACTAAACTAAGAGTTTTACGGCACTTGCAACACAATAAGGTCAGTTATAATTAGTGTTAGGTCCTCGGACAGCGACAGGCACACACAGCCGACGGTGAGCCAGGTACGTTTGTTGTAGTAATTGTTTTACGGCACTTGCAACACAATAAGGTCATATAAGTGCCGAAGATTAGAGGTGTTACAAGAGAGTAACAAACACAGAAACGAAAGAGGGGAGATCAGGACGATAGATGTTTGGTAGGGAAGAAGGAGCACACCACACCAGAGCACCCGCCAACCACCCACCCACTCCTGTGTGTGAGTGTGTGTATATATATCTGATCTATACTGCTAAATTGCTGTTTTTGTAGATTTTGTCCAAAGTGTTGAAGTTGCTGCTGCTGCTGCTTTTTAGTTTTAGAAAGAGTTTTAAGGCACTTGCAACACAATAAGGTCATATAAATATAAGTGCCGAAGATTAGAGGGGTTACAAGAGAGTAACAAACACAAAAAAGAAGGAGAGATAAGGACGATAGATCTTTGATAGGAAAGAAGGAGGAGAGATAAGGACGATAGATCTTTGATAGGAAAGAGGGAGGAGAGATAAGGACGACAAATGTTCGATAGGAAAGAAGGAGGAGAGATAAGGACGATAGATCTTTGACAGGAAAGAGGGAGGAGAGATAAGGACGATAGACCTTTGATAGGAAAGAAGGAGGAGAGATAAGGACGATAGATCTTTGATAGGAAAGAAGGAGGAGAGATAAGGACGATAGATGTTTGATAGGAAAGAGGGAGGAGAGATAAGGACGACAAATGTTCGATAGGAAAGAAGGAGGAGAGATAAGGACGATGGATGCTTAATAGGAAAGAAGGAGGAGAGATAAGGACGATAGATGTTTGATAGGAAAGTTTGAGGAGAGATAAAGACGACAGATGTTTGATAGGAAAGAACGAGTAGAGATAAGGACGATAGTTGTTTGATAGGAAAGAGGGAGGAGAGATAAAGACGACAGATGTTTGATAAGAAAGAAGGAGGAGAGATAAGGACGATAGATGTTTGATAGGAAAAAGGAGCAAACCACACCAGAGCACCCGCCCACCACCCACGC